CGTATTGTTCAACGCTGTTCGGCTCCAGATTCCGCGGCGGGCGATGGCCGCGCGCCCGCCCGCCGTCGACTGCGAAGCGCTGCGGGCATATGATTCGCACGCGGCTGATGGTTTCGACGCTGTATTTCTGGGCGCGGGCACCGCCAAAACAACCATAATATGCGTTGTGCCGGACTCGGATGATTAGTGCCGGACCGAGGTGTAAAAAATTAATCATCGCCGGAGAATTAGGAGCCTCTGGGTATCGAACAGGCGCAACAGGCGCGCCGACCAGGCAGACCAGGCACGCCGACCAGGCGCGCCAGGCACATCTACCAGGCGCGCCAGGCACATGGCGCGCCGACCAGGCACACCAGGGCCATGCGCGCGCAGCGCCACCTGGCTCAAACAGTAGCGGAACGGCGCGCGCCCCCGCCCCCGCGGCCGCGGGCGCGCGAACCCGCGCCAGCGCCCGCTCCGCACTCGGCCCCGCGTCGCCCGCCCCCGCGCCCGCCTTTGGCTTCCAGCCGAGCTGGCGCAGAAGCGGGACGGGAGCTGGAGACGGGCCCGCCCCCCCCCTGCGAGCGCCCCCGCGCGGCCGATTCCCCTCGGGCGCCCCCGCGAGCCTCACCGCGAGCGCCTCCCGCAAGGCCAGTCCAACGAAGGGGAGCTCGCCGGGCGGCATCTTGCCGTGGAGTAGCTCGCCGAGGAACTCCTCCCGCGTTCGGCCAGCTCGCCCAAGCGCGCGCCCCCCGTAGAAGTCAAGACAGGTTTTGATCAGTCCCTCGCCACCGAGTCTCAGCGTCGACCGGCGCGCGCGGCGCGGCCCACGGGGTCAAGCGCAAAATGGCAATCGCCAGCGTCGGCGTTGACGTTGAATGCGGGGGCCCAGGGGCGTCGCCATGCATGCGTTGGGGAAAATCTTGCGTTTGATTTCGAGGAGGGACGTCGTCTCCTGAACGGGGCTCGCGAGGGCGACGACGCAGCCGCGGCCGCGGCCGTTCCATGGGGCCCCGAGACCCGCGAAAAAAAACGGGCCAACGAAGGCGGCGGAGGCTTCCAGCTAAGCTGCAGCGGTAGCAAGGAGCGGCTCTTCACAGGGCACTGGCCGGCTCCGCGCGGCACCGCGCGCGCGCGGCTTGAGTCCCGCAGAGGGCGCGGCGACAGAGCAGACGATTCGGTGGGGGGCCCCCGCGGTTCCACGAGCCGATGCGCAGCGTCAGCTGATGTCAACGCAAGCACGCCGCAACGGGGCGCTCGCTCGCAAAGCGCAAGCCAGGTGCGCGCTCGGACAAGCAAGCAGAATGGCCAAGCCAGCGCCCTCAGTCCAAGTCCGCGGATGGCCTGGGCGACGGCGCTGGCACAGCTGCGCGCGGCACAGGCTCTCGGCCAAGAGGCGGCAGTCCGTGGCAAGGTGGCCGGGAGCGCTGCCTCGGTCTTAGCGGCTCGGGCGCGCGGCGGCGCTGGCGGGGGCGGCGGAGTACCGTTGCGTCTCCGCCTCCTCGCCCCCCCCTTTCTCCGTCGCGCCCCCTCGTTCTCTCCTTCGCCTTCCTCGCCCCCTCGCGCTCTCACTCTCGCGCCGCGCGCGCGCGTTTGTTCTCCCGCTGGCCCCCCTGCCATCCCGCCCGCAGCTCCGCGCGCTTTTTCGATTCGCCTTTTTCTTCCACGCGTGGCACATTTGGCTCGCGCCGGCGAGCCCCCCCGCCCCCGCCGCCCGCAAGCGCCTCGACCACCCGGCGACGCTTTCAGCCAAGCGGGGGTGTCATGCTGGCGGCCGAGGCAAGTTCCATGCCTTCATACCAGAACCACAACTGATAAAAATACAACGATGCAGTGCCGCCTGTAAGTGGGAGAAACCTCCCAGCTCGGCGGCGCAGCGGGGCGACGGCTGCCGGGGATTTTCCGAAGTGGGGCTGGGCCGGGCCTTCTTTCGCACTCGCAGGAACGGAGTTCTTCGCGACCATCCAGGCGCGCGGCGCTGATGCTCGCACCAGTTGCAGCTGGCCGAGCGCGTGGAAGTGGAAGGAGGCCAGGCGCAATGGCGACCCTCCCGCGGGATTGAGGATCGCGCGCCCGGAGCCCTGCAATGAGGGGGCCTCCCCGCGGAGGCCGACGATTGGGGAGCGGCCGATGGCGGCCCGCCTGCAGACGCGGCCAGCGGCGGCGGCCCGCTCCCGTGGCTGCCGTTCGCAGAGAAGGTCGACCCCTCGGGGGTCGCCGACGGCGGCCCGCCCGCGGGCGCGGCCGACGGCGACGGCAGCGGGCAGCCGACGGGAACTCTGCTCCCAGCTGAACGCCCGCGGCCGACGCTTCGCGCCCGCAGACGCGGCCGGCGGCGGCGGCCCGCCTGCCGTCGCGGCCGACGGCGCAGACGCCCCCGCATAATATCATTCGTTTTCCGAGGTGTTACGGCAGCCCAGTTCCCCGTTGGCTTTCCAGGGAGGTGGCCGCCCAAGCTGCCGAAGGACACGGAACCAAGGAACCAAAACCCCCCGCGGATTCCGTGGCGCGCGCTGAAGTCTTCCAGCCAAAAGAACGCTTCAGCCGAGATCATCATTGGCGGGCTGACCGACGCGCCCGCCGCGCGCCGCGCCCGCCGCTTCCAGCCGCCGCGCCCGGTTGCGCAACCCCCGCCGGTTTCCACCGCCGCGATTTGCCGCTGAAAATACAGCCCCCGTTTTTTCCCCCTCGCCTCCGGGTGCTCCTCCTCCCGCTCCTCTTGCTCTTGGGGCCTGGTCTGTGCGCGCGTGCGCCCTGTTTGCCTGGTTTGCCTGGTCGGTGTGCCTGGCGTGCCCGGTCCGTGCGCCTGGTGTGCCTGGTGTGACTGGTCGGGGTGCCCGCTGTGCCAGGTCGGTGTGCCTGGTCGGTGTGCTTGGCGTGCCTGGGCGGTGTGCCTGGTGTGCCTAGCGTGCTTGGTCGATGTGCCTGGTGTTCGTGGGCGGTGTGCCTGGTGTGCCTGGTCGGTGTGCCCGGTGTGCCTTGTGTCCCTGGTCGGGGTGCCTGGTGTGCCTGGTCGGTGTGCCTGGTCGGTGTGCCCGGTTTGCCCGGTCGGTGTGCCTTGTGTACCTGGTCGGTGTGCTTGGTGTGCCTTGTGTGCCTGGTCGGGGTGCTTGGTGTGCATGGTCGGTGTGCCTGGTGCGCTTGGTGTGCCTAGTCGGTGTGCCTGGTGTGCTTGGTAGGTGCTCCTGGTGTGCCCGCCGTGCCTGGCACGGGTGCCTGATGTGCCTGGGCAGTGTCCCTGGTTTGCCTGGTCGGTGTGCCTGCTGTGCCCGGTGTGTCTGGTCGGTGTCCCTGGTTTGCCTGGTTGGTGTGCCTTGTGTGCCTGGTCGGCGTGTGTTGTGTTCCTGGGCGGTGTGCTAGGTTTACCTGGTGTGCCTGTTCGGTGCGCCCGGTGTGCCTACGCGGTGTGCCTGGTGTGCCTGGTCGGAGTGTGTGGTGTGCCTGGGCGGTGTGCCTGGTGTGCCTAGTCGGTGTACCCGGTGTGCCTAGTCGGTGTGCCTGGTGTTCGGGTTCGGTGTGCCTGGTGTGCCTGGTGTGTCTGGTCCGAGTGCCTAGTGTGCCTGGTCGGTGTGCCTGGTGTACCATGCGTGTTTGGTCGATGTGCCTGGTGTTCGTGGGCGGTGTGCCTGGTGTGCCTGGTCGGTGTGCCCGGTGTGCCTTGTGTCCCTGGTCGGGGTGCCTGGTGTGCCTGGTCGGTGTGCCTGGTCGGTGTGCCCGGTTTGCCCGGTCGGTGTGCCTTGTGTACCTGGTCGGTGTGCTTGGTGTGCCTTGTGTGCCTGGTCGGGGTGCTTGGTGTGCATGGTCGGTGTGCCTGGTGCGCTTGGTGTGCCTAGTCGGTGTGCCTGGTGTGCTCGGTAGGTGCTCCTGGTGTGCCCGCCGTGCCTGGCACGGGTGCCTGATGTGCCTGGGCAGTGTCCCTGGTTTGCCTGGTCGGTGTGCCTGCTGTGCCCGGAGTGCCTGGTCGGTGTACCCGGTTTGCTTGGTTGGTGTGCCTTGTGTGCCTGGTCGGCGTGCGTTGTGTTCCTGGGCGGTGTGCTAGGTTTGCCTGGTGTGCCTGGTCGGTGCGCCCGGTGTGCCTAGGCGGTGTGCCTGGTGTGCCTGGTCGGTGTTTGGTGTGCCTGGGCGGTGTGCCTGGTGTGCCTAGTCGGTGTACCCGGTGTGCCTAGTCGGTGTGCCTGGTGTTCGGGTTCGGTGTGCCTGGTGTGCCTGGTGTGTCTGGTCCGAGTGCCTAGTGTGCCTGGTCGGTGTGCCTGGTGTACCATGCGTGTTTGGGTGTGCCTGGTGTGCCTAGTCGGTGTGCATGGTATGCTTGGTCGGTGTGCCTGGTGTGCCTCGTCTGTGTGCCTGGCGTGCCTCGTTGGTATGCCTTGTGCGCCTGCTGCGCCTCGGCAATTTCACCATCCATCACAATCACCGGACTTAAATTCTTCATGACCATGATCACCCATCTTCCCATCACCTGTATGTATCCATTCCACCATTAGAACTGTACATATCACCATCATCATCGTCAGAGGGTCGCCTCAAGCCTCATCACCAAGCTTCATCACCATCATCCTTCACGCTGCCGTCCGTTTCACATCATCACGGTCATCCGTGTCATCATCACCATCATCAATAGATTCATCATCATCATCATCATCATCATCATCATCATCATCATCATCATCATCATCACGATCATGATCATCATCATGATCATCATCATCATAATCATCATCATCATCATTATCATTATCCTTATCATTATATCATCATCATCTCTATCACTATTACCATCACCATCATCATCATCGTCATCATCATCATGATCATCATCATCATCATCATCATAACCATCATCATAGTCATCATCATCTTCATCATCATCATAATCATCATCATCACCGTCGTCGTCAGCATCATCATCATACTCATCATCATTTTCATCATCATCATCATTATCATCATCATCATCATCATCATCATCATCATCATCATCATCATCATCATCATCATCATCATCATCCATAACCATTCTGGCTCAAGCGCGCGGGTGGCTCAAGCACTCGAGCGGGCCCCGCAGGGCCGCACCCCCGTCCGTGGAGGCGCTCTCCTCGGGCAGGTGATACGCTTGCATTTGAGGTATCGCTCTCGTACTCGGTCGGCAGCCGCGGGCCGTCGAGACCATGCTCAACAGCCCCGATGAGGACGCCAAGGGCACGGAGTTGGCGAAGACGCCGTGCATCACGATGCTCGCGTGCTGCTTCGCCGCCCTGATCATGCCCACCGCCTGCATCGGCCTGGCCCTGGGCCTGATGAGAGCGGAGCCCGAGCTCGACGTGTGGAACATTTGGGCCCCTGATTCGGGGGACTACGCCACGGACAAGAAGTACCTCCAGAATCTGGTGGACACCACCGACATGGCCCAGTCCGGGAGAACATCATGCGCGTTCCTGTCGCACGCGAGGGATGGCGAGTCGCACCTGCGGAAGGCGCCCCTCTCCGAGCTGATCGAGAGGATGAAGGCCATCGAGGCGGTCGAGGTCGAGTACAATGGGAACACGTTCTCGTATTATGATGCGTGCACCGGCGGCCAAGCGAACAAGGACATGCACCTGGGCTACACTCTGCCATGCCCCGTCGTCTCTGCGGTTCATTCCTACCGCGAGGGCGGCTGGGAAATGGACATCATTCCGCAAGCGAGCACGCTTTGGTACCAGGAGCTGGTGCCCCTCGTTGCACGTCCGATCGTTGCCTCCTTGCTCCTGGCCACGGACTTCCCACCAATTCCGGACTTTGGCACCTTGTACGCGCCGGCGCTGGGCCTGCCATCCACCGCAGTCTGTATCCCGGTGGCATATTGCGACCTCGCGGTGGCAGCGAATCCGGCCGCCCAGGCTGCGTGCTGCGTCTACGAGTGCGCCGCCACGTGCGCAACAGCGTTCGCCCAGGCCATGAACCCCCAGGCCCTGGACCCGACGAGGCTGACAGCGGACCCGGACTGCAACGCGTGCATGATCCAAGCAGAGCGCGCCCTGTTCACCGCCCTGGAGGACCCAGTTCTCGCCGCCGGCTTCGGCATGGGAACCTACGTCTACAACTCCCCCGAGCTCAACTACGGCGACTGGACGTTTTCCAACATCCATAACGAATTCGTTGACGCCGACAACCTTCACTACAAGGACGTGTGGATTTACAACCTCGCGCTGTATGGAGCGTTCGTGACACTTGGCCCGTCTCTCGGAATACCCGCTGGCTACGTAATGACAATGCCTCAGTTCGAGACGAACGTGTTGAACTTACTGTACGGCGTAGTTCCCTACGTTACCAACACATTCACTGCCGAGGCAACCTCGTTGGGCTTGGACAAGGGCCTCAGGAGCATCGAGGCCAATGGCACCACCGAGAGGGAATTGCACCAGTGGGCCAGCGGTGACATCAGCGGCTGGAACCCGTTGCAGAACTACCCTAGCGAGCTGATGTTCGGGAGAACGGTCTCCGACGACTCCGATGTCTTGACGAAGGTGGAGGGGCTTCAAGCGGTGTACTTCCTCAATCAGCCGAAGTACTTCGCTGAGAAGGTCGCCAGTTCCATGCGCGCCCAGGGCCCTGGCCTCCGCGATCCCGTGACGATCTCCGAGGACGACGCCAAGAAGATCCTCGAGCAGATGAAGGAGAAGATGGAGGAGGTCTGGACCAACAATTGGGACAAGAGCGATTCCGCAACCACTGACGTCAACAAGTATTCCGCCTTCACCGGAGGATACGGCGGGACGTTCTACCGCGCGCTGAAGAAGATGACAGAAGATTCCGTGACGCCGTCGATTGTGAGTTACTTGGCCATCATCGTGGTGTCCGTCCTGCTGATGTTCTCGCCGTCCCTGACGGAGTCCAAGATGCTGGTGAGCTTGTGCGGGGCGCTGTTCTCGGTCGTGGCCTTCTGCGGCGCGCTGGGCGTCGTGGTGCTGACCGGCTCGAAGCTCATGTTCACCTCAGTGTGGACGCTCCCCTTCCTCCTGGTCGGCCTCGGCGTCGACGACATGTACGTCATCCTCACGACGCTCGTCCAGGAGGGCGGCAACACACCGAGCGGGTTCTTCAAGGCGATGAGGGGCTGCCTGGTCCCCGTGACCATGACGAGCTTCACCAACGCAGGCATGTTCGGGATGCTCATGTTCGTCTCGGTGCCAGCCGTCCGGGAGATGGGCAAGATCGCGATGATCTCCATCGGCCTCCAGTACATCACAATGGTCACGGCCTTCCCGTGCATCTGCTACCTGGACATGGTCCGCAGTTCCAGCCGGCGATTGGACTGCCTGTGCTGTGTCAAGGGTACCCGCTCCGAGCCCGTCAAGCACCTGGCGTACTCGTGCATCTACAGGCCCATCCTCGGATCCGTACTGGCGCGCATCGTCATCGCGATCGTGTCCCTGGGCCTCGTCGGCGTCGGCGTATATGGCGCGATGGATGCCGAAGTCGGCGGGGGTCTGAAAGAGTTCTTCCAGCCCGGCACCGTCGAGCACGAGTTTATGGAGATGCAGGAGGAGTACTTCGACGTTTCGTGGCCCCTTGCGGTGAACTTCGGCGAGTTGGAGTACACCAACCCAGAGGTCCAGATGCACATGATCGACATCTACGAGAAGGTCATCGCCACCCCGTACGCGAGCAAGGTCGAGACCGACTCCCTGTGGACTGCGTCGCTTGCCCTCTGGGGCACCGTGGACTGCATGGACGTCGGCCTGGGGATGAAGTGCGGCATGGATTACGGCTGCAACTCCGAGTGGGTGGTCAACACCCGGGGCCTCAAGCTGAACACTGCCGAGAACCCGGGCGTGTGCAAGCTCGGAGCCGATATCGCCATCCTTCCCGGGGAGACGTCCCCCTACGACCCCACCGTGGAGTACTGCCCGGTCTTCAGCGGGTGGTCGGAGGAAAAGATGGCGCAGTGCATCGGCATTTGGTCAACGCGCGGCCTCAGCGGGAAGGGCTCGGTGACCCTCGGGGCGCCGCTCAACCTCTCGGCCGAGTACGAGAACACCCCAGAGGTGCCGATCAAGAGGACTGTTGCCGACGGCAATGGTTTGCTGTTCAACGTCGGTATCGTTGGCAACCAGGGCTACGTGGACGCCATCGAGGCGACCCGCAAGTTCTGCGACGAGGACGACTCGGACGGCATGCGCTGCTGGCTGCAGGGGGTCGCCTACGACTTCTGGGAGCAGTACATCGACCTTTTCGAGACTGCATGCTTCGTGTCGGCTTGTGCCGGCGCCGCTGGCTTCGTCATCTCGTTCATCTTCTTGGTGGTTAGCTTTTGCGCCGACAGCACGCTGAAAGCGGGCATCGTCGGCAAGATCCTCGCGGCCTTATTCGGGTCTATTATCATCGTGGTGCTCTGTGCCATGTCGATCGTCACGGTCTTCGGGATTACTACCCTTGCAGGGAGCTCTTTTACTGTTTTGCTCTTGACCAGCGTCCTGACGGCCATCGGCTTCTCAGTGGAGTTTGCGGTGCACATCGTGCACCGCTTCCTGACGGCACCGCAGAACAAAGAGTCGGCGATCGACCGCGTCAACCACGCGATGGAGTTGTTGAGCTTGCCAATGGGCTGCGGCTTCCTGGCCTCCGTCGTTGGGCTCCTATGCATGCTCGCAACAGACAGCAACCTGGTGCGCCAGGTGTTTTTCCTGCCGCTCATCTTGGTGCAAGGTGTAACGTTTTTGTTTGGAACGTTCTTCTTGCCGGCCGTGCTCGCCTGCATCCCGTGCTCGTGCCTCAAGATCGGGCCTGACGCGGAGGAGGATCAGTCGACACGCCAGGATCCGTCGACACGCCCGCCGAGTACTTCATCTGAGTCTATCTCAATTTGAGGTGGGGTCGGTTTTGCTCCAACTGATATTTTTATACGCTTGTCTTGATGTCTAGAGTGGCACCAGATATGACTAAGCCCAGGACGGCTTGCGCGCCCCCACGGTTGGGACCAGCCCACTTTAGCAGCACGCGTCCACAGGAGGAGCCTGGATGGTGCGCGCCTTTCAAAGCTTGAGCACCCGTTCCTCCCCCTGCTCTCCCTGCTCCTCTTCTTGCTGCTCTGCTGTTTCTCTCTTTACCCCTCGTTTGCCACCTCTCGCTCCGTGGTTATCAAGGCGTTCGGGATTTAATTGTCAACGCTGTCACACGCTCTGTCGCACGAGCGCATGGCTTGCCCAGCCGATCAGCGCATCACACATTTTGTAGTATCGCAGTCGATGCACTGTGGCTGTAGAGGGTGGTGCTTGATGCCTGCGTCCCAGACTCTCACGCTAGTTTGTCACCTGACAAGGACCAAGACCAAGACGACGACGACGACGACGACGACGACGACGACGACGACGACGACGACGAGTACCGTGCTGGACGCAGGCACGCGGCACCCGCGGGCGTAAACTTTGGCGCACCCGCGGGTTTTTTTTACGTGGCCATCACCGCGTTGGCCGCCACGGGTCACCGACGCTCATAGACGGTGCTCAAACGCCGCCGCCACGCGGCCAAGAATCTCAGACCGCTGCTGAGTGGCACGAGCCAGGTATCCGTGCATCGGCGGCGCTGAGTCATGGCAATCTAGATAACGGATTTGCGTCTGCTCCCACAATTCCGGCCGCCTGTACCGTTTCCAGGCCGCCGGGCAAAGACCGGAGCGACCCGTTCGCGCATTGGCTCCGCGCGAGCACTGGCTCCGCGCGAGCACTTTCCTGCGCTGACGGCAATGAGGGATACGTCACCGCCGGCCGGCCCCTCCGCCAGCTTCGCTGCGAATCACCTCTCCCGGGCCTTGTGTGCCCGCGCCATCCCAGCCGTGCAATCAGCGTCCCTCTGCGCGATCTTGCGTTGTGCTGGGCGCGCGGCAGCTGCGGCCGCGTTGGACCCCAAGCGCGTGCGATTGACAGGAGGGGGCACAGCAGGAGGGTGGACATCAGGAGGGAGCATCAGCAGCAGCAGGAGGAGGGGGGGGTGTCAGTAGACTGCGCAGCGCGCCCTGTCTTTTTGCAAGCCCCCGATGTGGCGGCTGTCCCCTAGAGCGCTTGAGGCCCACGCACTGCCGAGCTCCTCCTCCCACCTCCCTTTTTCCCCCTTATTCATTGCCCTCTTTACCCAACCTTTTTGTCTATAGCCTCCTTACCCGTCGGGCGGCCTCGTGGAGACGTCGCAGCGATAATGATTTCAGCACTTTCTACCCTCCAACGGCAAAAAGGCTGTATTGTGTCATCGCCTACCGTTGATTGGGCCCGATTTTTCCCGCGCAGGTCCATAGCGCGCCGCATCGCAAAGTCGCCGGCACATCCAACGCGTGTTGTGGGCGTTGGAAACAAAAAAATATCCCGGCAAAGCAACCTGACAGCGATATGTAGAAGCATGTCTGAAAGCATTCCCCTTAAGATTCAGATGAAAATCCAGTTGTAGAATTCTGCTGTTCTCGCAGTCGTAGTCGCATTCGCGATGACAGTCGCAGCGGCAACGGCAGTCGCAGTCACAGCCTCAGCCTCAGCCTGCCTCAGCCTCAGCCTCAGCCTGCCTCAGCCTCAGCCTGCCTCAGCCTCAGCCTCAGCCTGCTTCAGCCTCAGCCTCAGTCTGCCTTCAGCCTCGGCCTCAGCCTCAGCCTGCCTCAGCCTCAGCCTGCATCAGCTCAGCCTCAGCCTCAGCCTGCCTCAGCATCAGCCTGCCTCAGCTCAGCCTCAGCCTCAGCCTCCTCAGCCTCTCAGCCTCAGCCTGCAGCCTCAGCCTGCATCAGCCTCAGCCTCAGCCTCAGCCTCAGCCTCAGCCTGCCTCAGCATCAGCCTGCTTCAGCCTCAGCCTCAGCCTCAGCCTCAGCCTCAGCCTCAGCCTCAGCCTCAGCCTCAGCCTCAGCCTCAGCCTCAGCCTGCCTCAGCCTCAGCCTCAGCCTTCAGCCTCAGCCTCAGTCTGCCTTCAGCCTCGGCCTCAGCCTCAGCCTGCCTCAGCCTCAGCCTGCCTCGGCCGCAGCATCAGCCTGCCTCAGCATTCAAAATGTGGCCCAGGAATGGAGTTCTGGGAACTAGAAGAACACGAAGTGGCCTACAGTTGGCTCCGGGCATTCAAAATCATGCCCAGGAATGGAGTTCTGGGAACTTGAAGAGCACGAAGTGGCCTACAGTTGGCTCCGAGCATCCAAAATGTGGCCCGGGAATGGAGTTCTGGGAAGTCGAAGAGCACGAAGTGGCATACAGTTGGCTCCGGGCATCCAAAATGTGGCCCGGGAATGGGGTTCTGGGAAGTCGAAGAGCACGAAGTGGCCTACAGTTGGCTCCGGGCATCCAGAATGTGGCCCGGGAATGGAGTTCTGGGAGGTCGAAGAGCACGAAGCGTGTGACTGTTGGCGAAAAGCGAGCCCGGCTCTGTTCCCGGTTCTGTTCCCGGTTCTCCTCCCCGGCACCCGCCCAGACCCCCCTGAGGAGTCATCTGCTGCTTTCTTTTGAGACCACTAGAAACCTATCAGCAAAAGCTGTTAGGTCCAACGCGTGTTGTGGGCGTTGGAAACAAAAAACCATCATCATCATCATCATCATCATCATCATCATCATCATCATCATCATCATCATCATCATCATCATCATCATTTTATATTCATCTTCATCTTCATCTTCATCATCATCATCATCATCAGCATCAGCATCAGCATCAGCATCATCATCATCATCATCATCATCATCATCATCATCATCATCATCATCATCATCATCATCATCTTCGTTCATGTCGTCACCTTGCCGTTTTGAGCAAGAAGTGAAGGTAGCAGGAGTGTAGGTTTGGGGCAAACTGTCCTTCAACGTCCGAGCAGGACAGTTGGTTCGCTATGCATTGTATGCTGTTGTTTTTTTTTTTTCCTCCGAGGACGCCGAGGACCTGGACCCCCGCGTTGCCCAGCTGCGGCGGCTGCTGGGCGCTCCGCCGGCGGCAGAGCTCGGCGAGGCCGGCCCGCCCGCGCGGGGGGCCAGCGCGGGGCCGGCCAGCGGCGTTGGCTCCGCGGCGCTGGAGCAGGCCGAGCTGGGGAAGGATCAGCTGCGCGTAAGATCGGCACGATCGCGTCGCGAACCAACAGCGGAGGAAAAGGTCCCCGTACCTCTATGCTTCACTAGTTTTCCCCTTTTGGGGCCTCCTGGGCAGCTCTCGTCGCCACCGTTGCATTGGTTTCGAAATCCTGGTCAGAGCGCACCCCGGGAGAAGCCCTGGGAGCAGCGGTTTCGGCACCTCTTGGTTTCTCCACAACAAGGGCGTCTCGCTTGGCCCCAGGGCTGTCAAACATCGGCTCGGGCTGGGAAGCTGGCCTTCGGGAGATGGGCGGGAATTCTGGGGAGCCTGTATTGAACAAGTCATCTTGCTCGATACGATTGAAATGGGCACATAAAGAATGGGGACAGAGACCGGCAGCAGCTTCTGTCCATTTTGAACAGGGCTCGCTGCCGGCGTCGCCACGGACGTTGTCCATTTGAAACAGAACGTCGCCTGCTCACAGCGGCTACTGCCGACATTGGGCAACGCTAGCTGCTGGGCATCGTGCCAGTTTTTTGTCCGTACCCTTCGGGCGTGTAAAGAAGAGTGACGCTCCGCCAGAGTGGCCAGTGGTCCGGGCCCATAGGTTCGGACGTTGAAGACGAGGAAATCAAGCAGTGGCGAAGCGTCCTGGATCGCCTATAGCCCTACCAAATAGTGCTCTAAGAGCCTCTTGTGGTTTCACGACATGTTCTTAGAGCATTTCTGGCTGGGACTGTCTGGTTTAAGCACGTCGGGTCTATGTTCTAAGAAGATTGCTTTTGTTCCTAGAACATTTTTGGATTCTAAGAACCTTACGTGGTAGAACTATAGGAATGCCGGGACGGTCGGTCCCTGCTCCGCGTTGCGAGGGCTTCTTGGAGCAGCGGGGGGCCCCCCCCCAGCGGTGCCTCTGGCGCCGCCCCTGGCGCGCTCCGCGCGCCAGGCAGGCAGGTTCGGCGCCGATCCAAGAGATCCGGGCGGACCTCCGAGCATTTAAGTGTGCAGCTTTTTTGTTGGTATCAAAAACCCAGAGATCCAACGTAGTGCAAAAATCAGGATGGAGGTCGTTCTCGATTTTCGGCCTCTGTCGGCCCTCGCCGGGCCCCGGGACCGTCAAAAAACGACTCGGGATGAAAAACCGGTCCTGGGGAATGGGTCGAGACTTCCAGGGACCCCGAATTGAAAAATTCACGACATCGGATCTCTGGGAATGGCCCTTCGTCGGAATGACCTGTGGTGCAGGCCAGTGGGGTCGGAGGTTTATAGGACCCCCACCCTGCCAAAGCGACTGGCGAATTGCCTATTTTCGGTTCTCGAGAGGATGTTGCGACCACAGTTGTTGCAGGCCTGCGCCCGCCAGGTTTGGTCCTGGGTCGTTTTCACAAGTTTCTTGCTAAATGGGGGTTCTGCGCGCTCGCGATAGGGGTCTCCCCAGCACTTGTCCTTGCACTTAGATCCCCCCCCGACAGCCGCGCTTCAAAGATCAATCTTGACCAGGGTAGCTCTTGTTCGATGTTCGTTGTTTGGATGACCTTCCTGGGGACCACCTCCGTAACAGATCGGTTCGACCCTAATTTGAATCTAGATCGGCTCAAGTTCGTCGCAAGGTCGACCCAATTCGACGGACGCTCGACGCAGCATCGACGCATGAGTGGCGCCTCCGACTCCAGGAAGGTGCCCAGAACGAGCACCCAGATAAGGATGAGCGACTTTCCAAGGTGTTACCCTTGCATCCTTCCCCTTCGGCTCATCCTTGGCCGCTTTCGCTGGCCGCGCCCCGCTCGCAAAGGGTCGACAAGGCTCTTGCATTCTTTGCATCCTTATGATACGGTCCCCAGGGATCC